GAGAGAGCGAGAGCTTTTAGAGATAGAGAGAGAAAGAGAGAGGACCTTTTAGAGAGATAAAGAGAGAACCTTTTATAGAAAGAGAATCAGGACCTCTTAGAGAGAAAGAGAAAGAGCCTTTGTGAGAGAGAGAGAGAGAGAGAGAGAGAGAGAGAGAGACCTTTTAGAGAAAGAACCTTTTAGAGTAAGAGAGTGAGGACCTTTTAAGGAGAGAACCTGTATGAGAGAGAGAGAGTGGGGACCTTTGAGAGAGAGAGAGAGAGAGAGAGAGAGAGAGAGAGAGAGAGAGAGAGAGGGGGGGGACCTTTTAGAGAGAGAACCTTTTGGAGAGAGAGAGTGTGGCGACCTTTTAGAGAGAAAGAGAGAGGGATAGAGAGATCTTTTAGAGAAAGATAGTGAGGGCCTTTAAGAGAGAAAGAGAGAGCCTTTTGGAGGGAGAGAGCGAGAGCTTTTAAAGATAGAGAGAGAAAGAGAGAGGACCTTTTAGAGAGATAAAGAGAGAACCTTTTATAGAAAGAGAATCAGGACCTTAGAGAGAGAGAGAGAGAGAGAGAGAGAGAGAGAGAGAGAGAGAGAGAGAGAGAGAGAGAGAGATCTGTAGAGTGAAACCTTTTAGAGAGAGAGAGAGTGAGGACCTTTTAGAGAGAAAGAGAGAGGGAGAGAGAAAGTTTTTAGAGATAGAGAGTGAGGGCCTTCAGGAGAGAAAGAGAGAGAGGCCGAGAGCTTCAGGAGATATTGAGAGAAAGAGAAAGGACCTTGTAGAGAAAAAAAAAGAGAACCTTTTGAAAAGAGAGAGTGAGGACCTTTGAGAGAGACAGAGATAAAGCCTGAGAGAGAGAGAGAGAGAGAGAGAGAGAGAGAGAGAGAGAGAGAGAGAGAGAGAATACCTCCTGAGACTGGCGAATGCAGTCTTGGCCTGGCGGAGGCTGGCGGCGGAGGGCGGAGGAGGCTGGCGCAGGCTGGCGGCGGAGTCAAGCAGAAAGTCGCGGTCAAGCAGGAAGTCACAGACGACGGCGGGCGGAACTCGGGTTGACGAGACGCTAGACTCTCACAAATGACACTGCCGTCAACCGGCGTGTCTAATGCAAGAGTTTTGTTGTTCTCGATTTCCGTCGTTTCCTTCGTCGGGCCCACGCGATTAACGAAAAAAAAAAAGGGTACCAGCCTTTTTTGGATGGTGTCGGCCGTGGATTCGCCGGTACCGGCCTCCGTTTTTTTGTTTTGGTACCTTAATCTTTCAGGGTTGGTACCGGGCCTCGTTCTGGGCTCTTTTTTACTTGGTACCGGCCTCTTCTTTTTGGGAACGGCCTCTTCCTCCGACGATTTCGCCGCCGATTTCGGCGAAGCACAATCTACTCCTTGTTGGTGCTTGAAACCTACCTGCACAGCGCAGCTTGTGCATCACAGCAATTCCACCTGCAACACTGTTCTTGTTCTTCTTTGGATCAGGCCTGGTTTCGTTGGTGCAACACCGTTATTATTCTTGTCTGGATCTGGTTTGGTATCATTGGTGCAACACCGTTCTTTTTCTTCTTCTACTATGGCTCGCAGAGGTAAGTGCAATGAGGTTGTCACTTCCCATAGCCTTCTGTCGAATCGGCTTGAAGCATGAAAAAGCAGTAAAAAAACTCTCCTTGATTGGTACATTGGTGATACTCACTACCCATAGCCTTGGGTTATGTATGCTCGCCAAACTGGGTGGGGGGAGATTCGCGATCTCCCCCCACCTTTTTTTTTCGAAAAATCAGTTAAAAAAGCTCTCGTTGAT